GCAGGGCTGGTGATGTGGTACTCCCTACAGCGACGGGAAGGTGGCGCTTTAACTGGTAACCTGCAGGGCTGGTTGTGTGGTACTCCCTACAGCGACGGGAAGGTGGCGCTTTAACTGGTAACCTGCAGGGCTGGTTGTGTGATCAGCCGGGTGAAGGGATTGGCGTTGCCACTTCGGAATAATTTCTAACTGGAGAAAGTTACATTACAACTTTATGGAATTTGTAAACAGTAAAACACTTGTTATTATGGTTTGTTTTTAGCAGATAAACAAACTTTTCACTATTACCTGTAGATTTAACCGTTCATATTGAATGTGGAAACAGACACAAATGAACTTAATCGCCCTTCATGACCAAGTATGTGTGACAATACATGGAAATCGACTGAGAATGTGTGTTTAAAGTATTGGGAACCCCAGAGCTTGAAATTTGGCGCTTTTTCTACGGCCTACTGTGACGTCACTTTATTTAGTTTTTAATATATATTTCTCATGGTTGTGAACACGATTTTGAAGCTTCGAGTTAACCACAATGAGCTAACACCAAATAATACGCGTTTAATTTTATCATGGTAGAATGGAGATGAATCCTAACTACAAGGAAAATGATTTTGTTTATGGCTTTCGCGGGTCTGTATGAAGAGTAAACAATGCAACGTGTTCTTAAACAGTGTATTACTAAAATTAATGTGATAGATCTAGTTGCTGTATTGCCACTCTAGATAGCGTGGTGTACACATATACATTCTACTCCGTGTGTGCATCGATGATACCAGTATTGATACGTGTCTCTAAAATGTTTACGTGCTGTTCCTGTTTTACACATACCTCTCTGATTATGAACATGACACATGTTTTTTTTTTGGTTTAGTTTGTTGTTTAACGATGCACTCAGCAATATTCCAGGTATATGACGGCGGTCTGTAAATAATCGAATCTGTACCAGATAATCCAGTGATTAATACCATGAACATCGGTCCAAGCAATTGGGATCGATGACATGCATCAACCAAGTCGGCGAGCCTGACCACCCGATATCGTTAGTCCACCTCTTACGTCAAGCATAGTCGCCTTTCACGGCAAGCGTGGGTTGCTGAAGACCCATTCTAGCCCGGTTCTTCACCGGCCGACTCAGATGCAACAATATTTAAATATGTAGTAAGTATGTGCACAGGAGAGTAATGAAAATGTGAAACGTGTATGTCCTTTTCACTATCAAACCGCCCTATATATAATTACACGTATACAGAGCCACCACTCAAATGTGCACGCATGACCCCACATATGAGTGTCGTAAACAACTTAATAATGATGACTGCATTGTTACGTAATCGGCGTTGTAGACGGCCATGTGGTCTCAATGACCCTTTATGAGCTTATATATGTGATATAGTTTGAATATTCAAATGGGTCTAATCCCGATTGTTTCAGTAAATGAGTGAGTGAGTTGGGTTTAACGCCGCTTTTAACAGTATTCCAGTTATATCACGGCGAGTCAGCTTAATGTGGGATGACAGCCCGAAGTGATGCAGGTCTCAGACGTTTACCACATCGACGAAACCCACGAGCACGGGTATGGTGCTGACAAACCTAGAAACATAATAGGGGCGAACCGGGATTTCCACAATCATAGGTTTCTGGCGTGCCCAAGGGACGCAACTCTGCAAAGCGAATCGCAGCGCCTTAGACGACAGGGCCACCCGTGCCCCCTTCAATAAATGAGATAGATTTATACATGTATTGTGTAGAACATCAAGATATTATCCTATACATAATATCTGTATCTTTTTATCATCGTTGTACAAGATACGAGAGAAGATGAAAAACAGAAGAGGTGTACTCTTTGGGAGCAGTGTGTGATATTCAATCGTCAAATATACGTCTGTGTGCACCATCTATGACTTTTTTAAGGCTGCTCTTGTTTGCGCTGACGGGCCTAATGAACCTGGGGATTTAGAGTGTATGCTAATGAACTATGCACACTTGTCGCCTACTGCTCCAATCTTACACTTTACTGTTGTGCTATATCGGGAAATCATTCACCGTGTTAAAGGTTTTAGAACAAAGCATAACTGACAATATTTATCTTGTTTGTTTTTAATATGTTAACTTCATTCCTTTCTATGTATACAAAAGGATCGTATTATCTCCAGGGACCCGTGAAGATCCGGGGTAGAACAGATCTTCAGCAACCCATGCTTGCTTCCACCCGTGAAGATCCGGGGTAGAACAGATCTTCAGCAACCCATGCTTGTCTCCACCCGTGAAGATCCGGGGTAGAACAGATCTTCAGCAAACCAAGCTTGTCTCCACCCGTGAAGATCCGGGGTAGAACAGATCTTCAGCAACCCAAGCTTGTCGTAAAATGCGACTATGCCTGTCGTAAGAGGTGACTAACAGGACCGGATGGTCAGACTCGCTGACTTTGTTGATACATGTCGATGTTCATGATGTCAATCACTCGATTGTCTGTTCCAGACTCGATTATTTACAGGCCGCCGTCGTATAGCTGGAATATTGCTGAGTGCGGCGTTACACAAAAAAGAAACAAACAAATAATAAGGATAGTGTGCCTCTTCTCAAATAGGTACAAACATGCGTACTTCCGTGGATGATGTCCTAAATTGCCATGACGTCATGCGACAAGGTTTCAAAGCAATTATCCATTTGTGACCAACTCGTGCCATTCCGGGGCATGCTGAATAAGGTTACACAAGTTTCGAGTGGTGCCGAATGTTTTCTTGGAGGTTGCGGGAATATGTGAGCGGTGACAAATGTCGTCTTGTAAGTACGGACAGAGGCGCGTCGTCACGAATGTAAGCACAGAGTAATGTACAAAATTATACAAGAAATATTGCATCTTTGTGATGACACATTCAAGTGAGTGAGTGAGTCCGTTTGGTGTCTGCTCTAGATTCGGGATTAATGCGTGAGTGAGTGAGATGTGAACAGCTAGTGTTCCAGTTATATCACGGCGTGTCAGCTTAATGTGGGAGTGAGTGAGATGTGAACAGCTAGTGTTCCAGTTATATCACGACGTGTCAGCTTAATGTGGGAGTGAGTGAGATGTGAACAGCTGGTGTTTCAGTTGTATCACGGCGTGTCAGCTTAATGTGGGAGTGAGTGAGATGTGAACAGCTAGTGTTTCAGTTATATCATGACGTGTCAGCTTAATGTGGGAGTGAGTGAGATGTGAACAGCTAGTGTTTCAGTTGTATCACGGCGTGTCAGCTTAATGTGGGAGTGAGTGAGATGTGAACAGCTAGTGTTCCAGTTATATCACGGCGTGTCAGCTTAATGTGGGAGTGAGTGAGATGTGAACAGCTAGTGTTCCAGTTATATCACGACGTGTCAGCTTAATGTGGGAGTGAGTGAGATGTGAACAGCTGGTGTTTCAGTTGTATCACGGCGTGTCAGCTTAATGTGGGAGTGAGTGAGATGTGAACAGCTAGTGTTTCAGTTATATCACGACGTGTCAGCTTAATGTGGGAGTGAGTGAGATGTGAACAGCTAGTGTTTCAGTTGTATCACGGCGTGTCAGCTTAATGTGGGAGCGAGTGAGATGTGAACAGCTGGTGTTTCAGTTGTATCACGGCGTGTCAGCTTAATGTGGGAGTGAGTGAGATGTGAACAGCTGGTGTTTCAGTTGTATCACGGCGTGTCAGCTTAATGTGGGAGTGAGTGAGATGTGAACAGCTAGTGTTTCAGTTGTATCACGGCGTGTCAGCTTAATGTGGGAGTGAGTGAGTGAGATGTGAACAGCTAGTGTTTCAGTTGTATCACGACGTGTCAGCTTAATGTGGGAGTGAGTGAGATGTGAACAGCTGGTGTTTCAGTTATATCACGACGTGTCAGCTTAATGTGGGAGTGAGTGAGATGTGAACAGCTAGTGTTCCAGTTATATCACGACGTGTCAGCTTAATGTGGGAGTGAGTGAGATGTGAACAGCTAGTGTTCCAGTTATATCACGACGTGTCAGCTTAATGTGGGAGTGAGTGAGATGTGAACAGCTAGTGTTCCAGTTATATCACGGCGTGTCAGCTTAATGTGGGAGTGAGTGAGATGTGAACAGCTAGTGTTTCAGTTATATCACGGCGTGTCAGCTTAATGTGGGAGTGAGTGAGATGTGAACAGCTAGTGTTTCAGATATATCACGACGTGTCAGCTTAATGTGGGAGTGAGTGAGAGGTTTACCGCTTTGGTGCTGACAAACCGAGACACATAGTCAGGGCGAATCTGGTATTCAGACCCACGATTGTGGATGTCTGGTACGCTAAAAGGGGACGCAACTCTGACCAGCAAATAGCGTGCCGCAGACGACTGCAGTCAAATCACGGCACACTAGTCAAATCACAGGTCACCAGTCAAATCACAGGTCACCAGTCAAGTAAAATCACCAGTTGTTCAGTTAAAGCGACCAATAAGCTGATGTTCACGGATGCTGATGCTGTTATAATACAGCGGTTAAATAATCCGGGAATGACAAACTGGTGGTTGATGGAATGACGAACGATACACGCCGTCGGAGTACGATGTCGCTCAGCTACCTACGTCACAGATTGCTATAACCTAATCCTCAATTGTCGACTCCTACTAAAAGCATTTTATACCAGCGGCGTTATGCCATGCAGTAAACGGTTAAGCCTGTGAAGACGTTTACCAGTCCGATCAGTTAGGCTTCGATGGCAAATGTGGCTTATGGATCATAGGATTGATTAATCTTGTATAATGTTCTGTCGGTAGAGCTGTCGTTTTCATATAATCCTGTAAATGTGTTAATAAAGGTGCTTGAGTGTTCGTTTTCGGATGCAATATGACATGATGTTTATCTAGCAAAATGACGCGACTGGATAGCTAATCGGATTACATTTCTTTAAAATCTACGCGTTTTACTAAGAAAACGACTCAGTTGTCAGATTATGTCTGAAGCGGAGCTCCGTATGGCAGGTCCCGCTAACTGAATCTATCAGCCAATCAGATTGGAGAGGTGTTGACCCCGTGACCTCAAGTATTACTCATGCAAATGGCGACTTCATGTAGGCATTCATCTATGGACGGTTCGTGAAGACGACAGCGTGTTGTTTCTCTTGGTTCGCCTGGTCTATTTTCATACCACATTTTCTTGGATTGTACATTTGTGTGTCTCATGTGATGAACATGGTTTCTCTCTGCCGGATTATATCGTTGTTGTGTGTCAGCGTGTGTGTGATAGCCGTTGCGCTTGCCTCGGCACCTTCTCATAGACATCAGGGAAAAGAATGTGGACGGGTTCAACGCGAGTTTTCACACAAAAAGATAGGCTCACATAATCTAGTACCCGATAACAAAGTACATGGTAAGTATTCTGACCCCACAACGAAATCCATGTTTTTCATTTTGAACCGCGAGACGTGCGTTCTGTTTGAGTTTCATTGCTTTTGTGAATGTTGCGATACCGAAGCCCCTTTTCTTTTTTGTTCTCACACAACATGCCGCAATACAAACGTGGAAAGGCTTGTGTTTCCTACGCACTAGATGGCCTAGATATTGCGTGATTTCAGATCATGTACGGTATTTGACTCTACCCAGTAAGCTTTATTGTAAGAACATATTTTGTGTTTCAAATTATGAAAGAAATATCAGTCGAAATAGTAATTTTGACAGCTGAAATACCGACATATGCTCCGAGATATGACTATATTACCTCTTTACTATGTGGATAATGATGTTATAACTAGACTAACCCAATTTTATTTGGTTACTTTCTAGTCTTTTGTGTAACACATCAAATAAAGAATTATCATTTGTGGTTAATGTGTTTCATAGAACATTGTTAAAAGTCATAGGCAGTTGAAAACAGTGTTATCCAAGCTTTGTGAAGGCATGGTGAAAATAAACAATGTCCAAATATGTGGAATAATACTAAACAATATTCATATTGATAAGGTGGATAATAACTTATAAAATGGTTATTGAAATAAATGGTGATGTGTGACATTGTGAGCCTGGTGAATAAATATGTCCACATACACCATGTTCACAATGTTTACAACATACTTAATACAACATAATTTTACAATTAATTTCTTGTAAGGACTTAAGTTATCCTCTGTCAGACCAACACTACACAACACACGGTTAGTCAGAAAGATAAGGTTAAGTTTATCCATAAAGTTTTTTCTCATCACAAATACTGCTTTCTTGATTCTGAAAAAACTTTTGTCCAAATGTTGTTCCAATATTTCTTCAAGCTTCCTTGTACCTAGTTCTTTGAGGTTGGGAGTAGCTTCCCCAAACAGCCAAAGTCCTTAAATTTTAACCAAAATTTGATTTCAGATTCAGGTGTGTCAGTGTGTTTCAATGGTAAAGAACTTAAGCACCACAAATCGTGCTGCACGAAAGATACAGAGGAGAAATATGTGAAGGCTGCAGAGAGATATTTAAAAGACAGTCTACGATCAACCAATGCATATTTGAAGAAGCTTGTGATGGAGAGTTTGGCTCGGTTTCAAGGTAAGACGGTGTAAACACCTACTTTCACCTTTAGCACCCACATCTGTATTTTTTTTAATAGAATTTAGAAAATGACACCTGAATGTATTTAAAAAATTAGTCAGACTGGAAAGACATTTGAAAATAGTACCTACATCTGTTAGTGTTGTTAACCTCATCAGATTCGGCGCTTGCTGTCTCAGCATTTATCACAAGCTTCAGGCAGTGACATTTTATTATTTTTTTACATTCTGGAATCATTGCTTCTGTTCTTGTGAAGGATATGGACGTCATTAAAACCACACTGGCCAAAGTTTTTGTCATATTTCAAGATAATAAAATTTAAATGGAAACATAAAGATATTTTGGCCTATGTCAGCTGCTTTTGCCAATGATGTGGACTGGCGTAGTAGAGCTCCTAAGCTAGAACTAGTCTTCGGTATCAAGATACAACAGGAGATGACCAAATATTGAATAGAGACAGATTTGCGTCTGTAAACAAGCAATGTTTGTGCTTAGAAGGCCTCATACACTTGGGGCTATCAATGGCCTTGTTGAAAGTTGCAACTGTGCTAACCAAATTACGCCCTGCCTTTTCCCACTCTTTAGTTTATATTTACCAATCCTGTTTTGATGAATGCTCACTGTTGATTTTAGTGATTTTTTTGTAAAATGATTTGTGTAGTCATTTTGTTTAAAGGGCACTGGATTGCTTTTGAAATGAATTTCAATTTGCTTGGTCAAAATGTACAAACACGGTCGTCAATTTCAGGTCATATCCATTGTGAGACTACACGACACCATGCGTTTACTTTGCCAATTGCGGTGTCTATATGGTAGAAAGTGTTGTCAGCGCAATATTCTTTCAACCAATTTGGGGCAATTTAAAGCAAATGTCAATAATTCTTAAAAGTATCGAATGGAAAGTGTTATGGGTTAAAAAGAGATTTACTGGATTCACATAAAGTAGTGTGACTTAAGTAATTAATCTGATTTTTGAATGTGACATTGACAATCCAACACATGTGCTCGATATGTACGACAGTCCATAAAGTGTTGATTTCAATTGTCCATCGTCAATAGCCTCTGTCACAGCTTTGTACCATTGTGGGATAAGTTATTGATTTCATGGCAGCTGTTGTCAAAAGTCTATATGAATGTTTATGCTGCATTTACACGGTAATTCTCCCTTGACACGGTGCTCTCATACCTCCATCTCGGATATGTGACATCAGGTTTTATCTCAAGTGTATGACATTTGAAACTAATTGACACTTAATGGTCCAATGACTTATTCAAAGATGTCTCCAAGAGAGCATGGTATATTTCTCTACTTACATTAATATTGTACACAGAGATTGAGGATGTGAAGGTTTATGTTTCAAACTCACATTGAGCATTAAGAGTGATGAATTATTTATCCAACCATCAAGTCTGACAAGGGTGTTGGTGTACACATGTAGTTAGCGTATTCTATTTTGATAAATGGACGCAGCAGATATTGAGCTGCAGAATATACTCCAGGGATATTTTTGAGGAACAACCTATGGATAGCAAGTTGAAAGGGTCATTGTGTAGAAATTGAAAGTAGAGTGAAGTGCCCACATGTAAAGTGAAACTAGACTGCTAATATTTTTAAACACTGATTACTATAGACGGAGACAGGTGACAGGGTTTATCAATACTTGACAGCTCAGAATATGGTAGTGACATTTGTGAATTGTTGGTGCTCGTCATCACCCATCCAACCTGTTCACTCGTCACGCCGAAGACCCGGATCCGATTCCTGACATGGTATCCCATGCTGTGATATTGCTGGAATATTGCTAAAAGCGGCGTAAAATCATACTCACTCACTACACAGACAGACAGACAGACACACACCTCCCCGAGCCCTGACGACAGACTGATCTTCAGTGTATGACTATTGATTGTAAGGACAACACTGATGATGCAGGTTGCACCCAATGCATCCTCGGGACCAGCATCCTCCTCAGTTTGTACCGAGTCCACCCAGACACAACTCAGCCTCATCAATTCCTTTTCTGTTTCTTTTGAGTGACCTTCTCCGGAGAAGAGAGGGCGTGTATTTCACGTACATTTCATGTAGGTTTCATGTATTGATTGACGGGATGGGTCCAGGAAGATAGATTGGTGATGGAATGTTGTGTGTTGGTCGACATGTTCTTTATCCAGTACTTCTGTACATACTTAACAACTAGCACTGAGCTCGCGGGGAATGTTCCGTATGTAACAGAGCATGTGTTTTCCTATCATCCAACTGTTCCGGTGGCACAAGTCCAACCAGGACGAGTTTAGCAGTGAGGGGACTGACTTGTATCTCTCTAACAGCATTTACAAAGGCATCCCTGCCTTTGTCGATTACATTCATGTGTGGTATTTTTAGATCTGTGAACTTCTGAAATTTACACTGATATGAATGCGTCACATTTTTGCCGAGGTGTGTTTGCACAAGTGTACTTTGATGTGCTGCAACACTGACCAATTATGTCCAATTTGCCCCTGCTAACTTCTCATGCGGGTGTTTACTTACATGGCAGCTTCAGGCCCATGGGTTGTTGGCCCTCTGTTGGCCGTGTGTATAGAACAACGGCTACGTGCTCTATGCTTGTTTGCATCCATCTCTCACGCTCCCAGCACGGAAACACACAAGTGATAATACACACTCTGTGACCAGTGGTCAAGCTCTCAAGCCACAGTGGCCAGCACTGTTACAGGTGTCCATTCACAGACTAGTGGTCAGTACTGTTAGAGGTGTCCATTCACAGACTAGTGGTCAGTACTGTTACAGGTGTCCATTCACAGACTGTAGTGGTCAGTACTGTTACAGGTGTCCATTCACAGACTGTAGTGGTCAGTACTGTTAGAGGTGACCATTCACAGACTGTATGGTCAGTACTGTTAAAGGTGTCTATTCACAGACTGTAGTGGTCAGTACTGTTAGAGGTGTCCATTCACAGACTGTAGTGGTCAGTACTGTTAGAGGTGTCCATTCACAGACTGTAGTGGTCAGTACTGTTAGAGGTGTCCATTCACAGACTGCAGTGGTCAGTACTGTTAGAGGTGTCCATTCACATACTGTAGTGGTCAGTACTGTTAGATGTATGGCCATTCACAGACTGTAGTGGTCAGTACTGTTAGAGGTGTCCATTCACAGACTGTAGTGGTCAGTACTGTTACAGGTGTCCATTCACAGACTGTAGTGGTCAGTACTGTTAGAGGTGTCCATTCACAGACTGAAGTGGTCAGTACTGTTAGAGGTGTCCATTCACAGACTGTAGTGGTCAGTACTGTTACAGGTGTCCATTCACAGACTGTAGTGGTCAGTACTGTTACAGGTGTCCATTCACAGACTGTAGTGGTCAGTACTGTTACAGGTGTCCATTCACAGACTGTGGTGGTCAGTACTGTTACAGGTGTCCATTCACAGACTGTGGTGGTCAGTACTGTTAGAGGTGTTCATTTACAGACTGTAGTGGTCAGCACTGTTAGAGGTGACCATTCACAGACTAGGGGACAGTACTATTAGAGGTGACCGTTCAGACTGTAGTGGTCAGTACTGTTAGAGGTGTCCATTCACAGACTGTGGTGGTCATTACTGTTAGAGGTGTCCATTGACAGACTGTAGTGGTCAGTACTGTGAGAGGTGTCCATTCACAGACTGTGGTGGTCAGTACTGTTAGAGGTGTCCATTCACAGACTGTGGTGGTCAGTACTGTTAGAGGTGTCCATTCACAGACTGCAGTGGTCAGTACTGTTAGAGGTGTCCATTCACAGACTGTAGTGGTCAGTACTGTTACAGGTGACCATTCACAGACTGTGGTGGTCAGTACTGTTAGAGGTGACCATTCACAGACTGTAGTGGTCAGTACTGTTAGAGGTGACCATTCACAGGCTTTAGTGGTCAGTACTGTTACAGGTGACCATTCACAGGCTTTAGTGGTCAGTACTGTTAGAGGTGGCCATTCACAGACTGTAGTGGTCAGTACTGTTACAGGTGTCCATTCACAGACTGTGGTGGTCAGTACTGTTAGAGGTGTCCATTCACAGACTGTGGTTGTCAGTACTGTTACAGGTGACCATTCACAGACTGTGGTGGTCAGTACTGTTACAGGTGACCATTCACAGACTGTAGTGGTCAGTACTGTTACAGGTGTCCATTCACAGACTGTGGTGGTCAGTACTGTTAGAGGTGTCCATTCACAGACTGTGGTGGTCAGTACTGTTAGAGGTGTCCATTCACAGACTGTGGTGGTCAGTACTGTTAGAGGTGTCCATTCACAGACTGCAGTGGTCAGTACTGTTAGAGGTGTCCATTCACAGACTGTAGTGGTCAGTACTGTTACAGGTGACCATTCACAGACTGTGGTGGTCAGTACTGTTAGAGGTGTCCATTCACAGACTTTAGTGGTCAGTACTGTTACAGGTGACCATTCACAGACTGTGGTGGTCAGTACTGTTAGAGGTGACCATTCACAGACTGTGGTGGTCAGTACTGTTACAGGTGTCCATTCACAGACTGTAGTGGTCGGTACTGTTAGAGGTGTCCATTGACAGACTGTAGTGGTCAGTACTGTTAGAGGTGTCCATTCACAGACTTTAGTGGTCAGTACTGTTACGGGTGACCATTCACAGACTGTGGTGTTCAGTACTGTTAGAGGTGACCATTCACAGACTGTGGTGGTCAGTACTGTTACAGGTGTCCATTCACAGACTGTGGTGGTCAGTACTGTTACAGGTGACCATTCACAGACTGTGGTGGTCAGTTCTATTAGAGGTGTCCATTGACAGACTGTAGTGGTCAGTACTGTTAGAGGTGTCCATTGACAGACTGTAGTGGTCAGTACTGTTAGAGGTGACCATTCACAGACTGTAGTGGACAGTACTATTACAGGTGACCGTTCACAGACTGTAGTGGTCAGTACTGTTAGAGGTGTCCATTCACAGACTGTAGTGGTCAGCACTGTTACAGGTGTCCATTGACAGACTAGTGGTCAGTA